GGACAACCACAGAGGTATCACCAAAGACTAGAAACTACAGGCTTTCTGGCCTTCCCCGCAGCTAACCAAGACTTCCACCTAGAGAAATCACCACGATACAGAAATGAACAGCTCAGCTTTCCCAACCTAGTTTAAGGGATAGTACCTGTGTGGCAGGCTCTCTAAATTTAGACAAACAGGAGCCTCCAGGATGGTGGTACTCTTTCCTGGGCCAAAAAAAGCACAGTCTTATTATTTCTTTAGCAAAAAAGTAATGCGCTGAGTTGGGAAGTTCTTTCTCATGTCTAGCTTATATCCTTCTTGCTTCCTTCTACTCTGTGCCCCTTTGCCCAGTCCTGGGAAGGGGGAATATAGACAGCTCCTCCTCCATGGCCACCAGACTCTTCCTGGTTTGGGAAATGGATAGTGAGGTCCCTTGTTTGTGTGGTTAACAATGCTGACTGCTTGTGAGGATGCTCACAAATGTAGCAGATGGAAGCCAGTACGGAAAGCCACTGTGGCCAAAATGCAGAGAACTGACCCTGGACTCTCAATCCTGCTCAATGCATCAATAACAAAACTCTACACCCAAGGCTCAGACCAGAATGTCTGCTGCCAGACTGTGTCTTCTAGACATGACAGAGAGGTAGCACCCGGGAGACCTCAACTGTATAATACTGGTTTTGGCCTAATGCTGCCTATATTATGTTAATTTGGGTCCCCAAAATTGTTTGTTCGAGAATCCACACATCTGCATATAAGACACGGAGGGACCCTTCCCCTAGTTGGTTCTGATTGGTAAATAAAGTTGTTGACAGCCAATGGCTGGGCAGGGCAGGACTTTTAGGATTCAGGGGCTAGGGAAAGAGAGGAAGGAAGAGAAAGAAGAAGATCCAGCATGCCAGGAGAAGGAGAGGAAAGATGCCATGCCTGAGAAGGTGCGGGACAGAGAACATGGCCACCATGTAGGAGCTGGGGATTAATAGCCCCAAGAGGACGGCCCAACTGGGTCCAGGGCAGCAAAGATGGAATGTGGGATTTAGTAAGTAATAACTCAGGAAGACTGGACGGAGGTGGATTAGTCACATGGAGGTTAGGAAGTGGCCCAGCCATTGAGCTGTTTAAGGCTTCTTAAAATATAAAGGCCGTGTGTGTGTGTGTGTGTGTGTGTGTGTGTGTGTGTGTGTGAGAGAGAGAGAGAGAGAGAGAGAGAGAGAGAGAGAGAGAGAGAGAGAGAGAGACTTTCATTCAGGAACCCAGAACACTGGGGTGGGTAGCGAGGAACATGTTGCCGCCGCAGGGACCTATTTAAGTGATTAATTAGGTACCACTACACAGTATGGCTACCTAAACAAGACCTACCGATGTGGATGGGGGGAAATCTCACAAGGCCACATCCCTACATGAGGAGCTATAGGCAATTAACAGCTGCCAAGAGAGGGAGGCCCAGTCCTCCTCAGGAATGGTCCTGTGACAGGTGACCTAGTCAGTGCTAAACTTGTGCACATTTGAGCAACACTGAATGGACCCAGCAGCTTGTATTTACACTCAGAAGCGTGTGTGTGTGTGTGCGCACACACACACACACACAAGATAATACAAACACATTTTAGAAAAACCCCAAAGAATGGGCATATAGCTCACAGGTAGAGCACCTCCATGAGACCATGGGTCATCCTAGAGCCACAAAAACAAAGCTAAACAGCTGCAGTAGGAACAAACGGATATTAAAAGATTTCTCTTCTGTCCTATGTGTAGAAATAAAAGCAGCAGCAGCAGCAGCAGCATGCTAGCAAGTGGCAATGTGCGTTCAGTCTTGCTGAGAGGGTGACCGTGATGGATGTCAGGGACTGTCATGAAGTGGACAGTCTATGTAAGGAGGGTGGGCCGCATAGTCTGCTGTTCCCCTGTGGTGGTTTGAATAAGAATGGCCCCCACAGACTCATAGAATTGAGTGCATCGTCAACCAGGGAGGGCAACTTTTAAAAGGATGGGAAGGACTAGGAGGTGTGTGGCCTTTTTGGAGGAAGTGTGACACTGGGAGTAGGTTTTGAGGTTTCAAAACCTCATGCCAAACGCAAAGTCTTACCCTCCATGCCTGCGTGGTTTGAATATGCTTGGCCCAGGGAGTGGCATTATTTGGAGGTGTGGCCTTGTTGGAGTAGGTGTGGCCCTGTTGGAGTAGGTGTGGCCCTGTTGGAGTAGGTGTGGCCTTGTTAGAGTAGATGTGTCACTGTGGGTGTGGGTTTAAGACCCTCATCCTGGCCTGGAAGTCAGTCTTCTCCTAGAGGCCTTCAGATGAAGAGGTAGAACTCTCAGCTTCTCCTGCCCCATGCCTGCCTGGATGCTGTCATGCTCCTGTCTTGATAGTAATGGACTGAACCTCTGAACCTGTAAACCAGCCCCAATCAAATGTTGTTCTTTATAAGAGTTGCCTTGGTCATGGTGTCTGTTCACAGCAGTCAAACCCTAACTAAGACATTGCCTGTGGGTCAGGTAGCAACTCTCAGCTACTGTTCCAGCGCCTGCCTACATGGCCCATGCTTCCCTCCGTGACAATAACGGACTAAACCTCTGAAACAGTAAGCAAGCCCCCAGTTAAATGTTTTCTTTCCCAAGAGTTGCCTTGGTAATAGTGCCTCTTCACAGCAATAGAACGGTGACTAAGACAGCGCCTAATAAGATAGGCTCACATATGGTTAGATAGTGTACATTTTAATGAAGAAATATATTTTTGTGTAAAACTTTGAAACGATGACAAAAAAAAATTTAAGACTTAGACTCATCTCTTAGGACAACAGGACTGAACACAGCCAGTAAACTGTGCCCAAACCTGGATCTGGCTGAAGGTGTCATTTCCTGTCTGTCTTTGTCTGGTGAGGGTTATCAGCACACATGGCTTTATTTTTAATAAAGGACTATAAACCAGTGTAGTGGTGCACATTTGTAACCCCGGCAGTCAGGAGGCAGAGGTTTATAAGTTCAAGGCCAGCCTGGGCTACACAAAGCCCTTTCTTGAAAAAGCCAAAAGCTGCTGACATAGATCAGTGTATGGTGCTTGTGCACTCCCTGCCATGGGTTCTAGTCTCAGGACCTCCCTCCCTTACAACGAAAAGAAATCATGAAGGAATGTTTAAAGATCACAGTAGTTTGTTTTATTGTCTGTGAACGGGAGACCTGATGTTCCAGTGTGGGTTCGGTTTGTTTGTGTTTGTTTGCTGGGGTGGATCCAGGCCCTCCCACTTGCTAGGCACATGCTCAACTACTGTGCCCACCCCAGCTCCAATGTGGCCTTGATTTTTGAGGACATTTTAATAATATTCATCCACAACCATTCCTGGGTGTCACAGGGTGAGGGTGGATCAGCCAGGAGGATCATGGAATCTCCCACACCCCCTGCTTCCCTCGTTAGCCAGCAGCAGCCAAGAAATGCCACTTGTACTGTGGCTCAGGTTTGGCTCATCCTCCTCTGAAGCCTTGCAGAACGGCCTGGAGTCCTGGCTCAGATGGATTGAAAAAGCTCCGTTTGTGTGCAGGTGCCGAGAAAAGGGGGTGCAGCTCCCTCTCTTCCAGACATCCCATGAGTCACCCCACTCCTGCTGCTAGGGAGTAGGGAAGGATTGGTAGGAAGCATGGGCTCTTTTCAAGGGTCACTCTGGCCTGGTCCATCAGCTGCCTGGGGAAGAGAGACGAGCCTGCTGATCTCCAGCCAAACCCAGGCACTCTTAGAAAGGGATGGTGACTCAGCTGTCAGCACACATCTCAGCAGACTGGCAAGGATTGAAACACTTGGTAACAGATGGAGCTGGCGAGGCTGTGGGCAAACAGCCCCACCCCCACCCCCGGCACTTTTCTGGTAAAGATGGGTACAGCCACTGGATTGTAAATGCAAATGACTTTTGACTCAACTTTAACACTTCTAGGAATTTTTTTTTCCCTTCCTGGTTAAGCCTGTTCACATGCCAAATGAAGTATCTAGACAGTGCCACATGGGACAGCACGGTTAGAGCCAAAGACCCAAGTGTCTGTTACGAATGATTTATTCAATAAAGAATGGCATAGCCCTCATAGTGGAATATTATAAAGCTGTAAAAAAAAAAAACCAAACAAACCAGGCCCTCTGTACAGGCTAATTTTGTGTCAACTTGACACAAGCTAAGAGTCACTTGGGAAGAGGAAATATCAATTAAGAAAATATCTCCACCAGACTGGACAGTGGGCAAGCCTGTGGTGCATTTTCTTGATTCATGATTCACAGGGGGAGGGCCCTGCCCACTATGAGTGTAGCCATCCCTAGGCTGGTAGTCCTGGGTTCTGTAAGAAAGCAGGCTGAGCTGCAAGCCATGGGGAGCAAGCCAGTCAGTCAGCACCCCTCCATGACCTCTGCATCAGCTCCTGCCTCCAGGTTCCTGTCTTGTTTGAGTTTCTGTCCTGACTTCCTTCAGTGATAGACTGTTATCTGGGATTCTAAAGTGAAATAAACCCTTTCCTTCCTGAGTAGCTTTTGGTCATGGCATTTAGCACATCAATAGAAACCCTAAGACACCCCCTTTACAAAGGTATGAAAGCAACATGAGGGCCATTTGTCTGTTTATATGTAGGAGTTGGAACACACACACACACACACACACACACACACACACACACACACACACA